TTTTTAAAATATTTTAACAAATAAATAAAGTATTAAGTTATCGGAAATGATTTATTTTTTGTCCATAATAATCAAACATTATACATTTTCTCGTACATAATACTTACGGCTGAAAACTAAAAGAAACTCTCTGTTTGAAATTTCTATTGCTATCCAAGCATCCATAGGATTATGAATAAGAAAAGAGAGGGCGCTACTTTCTGGTTGAACTAAACCTGATGATGAAGATGAAGAAACATAGAAGAATCAGTCAATTAATATGATTAAATGGAGTGACAAAAATATCTGTATAAACATTATTTCAGACCTCTAACTGTTTCTAATGAAGAATAATAAATAGCAAGATCTATAGATTATAATATCAAATGAAAATTTGTCACACTATGTTCAATAGTGCAATAGTCATCAATTTTGTTAAATGTTTGCAAACTGGACAATAACACTGTCAGTTGAAATAGTTTAAAACTGATAACATCCATTAAAAACCATTAAAAATAACACCGTAAAGTGACAAAGTATAAAATAACAACATCTACTAGAAACAAAAATCCCTTTAACTCTTTCCATACAGGGTTTGGTCAATGCAGTTAACCTTGTAATCACAAAGTAACCATCGGTTTCCACGTAACTTTACGAAACTTGTTAAGTTATCAGTAAATATTAAGTCTTTTGAACACAATAAATACATTTTTTTATATTAAACATTTTTATTAAACAGTTGTTCATGAATACATGGAGTCAGAGTGTTGACCGCTCCGAGTGCAAAGTGATTTTTATGTTATGATTAACAATACTTTTCATACTGTGAAAATTTTCAAATTTCATTTGAATAACCTCTAAAACCTCCCAAGTACATTTTTTTTCAGTAAAACTTTATTTTTTTATCTGTTATTTTTTCTAATCTAACTGTATGTGGACTTGGTTGATTTGACCAACCTTGTAACCACCAGAAAAAACAAAAAACGAAATATGTCTAAATTATTCTTTTCTAATTTCTAAAATGAAGGCAGGTTGTAACAGAAAATTACATTCTAAGTAGCTTGAGTGTCATAACAGTCTACATTTGTTTATACTTAATTTTATTGTTTTATTGCCCTTTGAACTGTGTCCAACTAATAAAACAACCACATACTGAATGATGTTTGCAAGCATCCCTCCTCATGAAGAATATTTGTTTATTTTTTTTCATTATCTTATCTAACCTAATAAGTTTCTAACATTTACATTTTAGTTATTTTTATAACCATAAATAAAGAATATACACAAAAAACCAGAAATCTAGTACTTACTTTTGACTTCTTGTATTTTGCTGTTAGTTACTAATGAAATTTAAGCCTACTTTTTTGTAACGATGGTACCAGTACACTAACTAATTTTCATTTATTTAAAATAATGCATCAAAGAACACAGAATAATAACACACAAAGCAAACAACGTACTGTAACTATTACAAGAGGGGGCTTAAAGTAGTTCCCTTTACTGCTCAATCTGAACACCAGGAGATAAACTTTCAAACTGAAGACAATATTGACAATACTCTGTACTCAAAACAATGTAGCATCATACATCATTTGACAGATTAAAACTTTAACTTTCTATTGGTTATAAATGATATAGTATAAAATGTCAGAAAGAATTATTGACAAATTGTGAAAGAAAGGGTGTCATAGGCTTATGGCTCTGTAAACAAACATGATTGAAGGCTATAAATATTAGACTTTGTCTCAGTAATATCTATATTATAAAGAGCAATTTACATTGAATTCCATACTTCAGGGAGGGGTAGTAAATAAATTAAAGAAAAGGGAAGACCTAGAGAACAAATGTCATGATTCTCAAACTTATTTCTTATAAAATTAAAAACTTAAAACTTATATAATTTGATTTATTAACTATGTTTTGATGTGAAGTTTATTCGTATACATTGATAATAAAGTAGTTTAATTAAAATTTGAATGTAACTCTGTAAACAGACATGACCTGCATACTTTCACCTACCCATAACGAGAGGGTTAACAGTATACCAATTATGAAATAAACTATAAACAGAGTCAAATAACACTGATTTGTGACAGGATGGAGTATTACTTCTTTTTTTGGAAGCTTGTCCAGAGTTTCATTATTTTTTTGTATTTCTTGGCAGTTTAAATTTGAATAGAGCATGGAGATGGAAAACATACACTGTGGGGCCAGGATATACAGGTGAAAAAATACACTGAAGGCTAAAACACTAACAGTGTATCATTACAGAATTAATTCAACTGTTACTGCACTGTAACAGTATATGTATATTAGACTAACAACACAAACCAAAAATCTTATAACATTATCCCACTGTCTAGAATAATGTACCTGTGATGAGTAATGTTGATGTGTGTTCTTAAACAAGTTATAACTGGTATATACTAAAAGCTGACTGCAGATAACTTACATATTGGTGGAGTATCTTCTTGTAATGAGTACAAATAGAAAACAGAAGGGAAGCCCACACACACTTTGTCATTCATCACCTCCATACACTGAGCTGGTGCAGGTAGAGCTATTTCACGAAACTTGTGATGTCGTCCTTTGGTGCGATTTATCTGGTAAACTACAACCTGAAAAATCAAAAATTATTTAATTACTATTCAGTTAGTTTTTCATAAACTAATACTTATATACATCAAGCTCATACAATAGTTAAAACAACATGACTGTTGGAGAGGACTGTCTGAAATTTTTTAGGTACTTAGTGAATAAATAACACCACATAATCTTGTACATCTATAGTAACAATTAGTTTCACCTTGTTATTATTTCTGAATTAATAAAAAATATCCATTTCCAGACCCACTATTACAAGCTGAGGTACCCATCCTTTGTATAGGTTATGAACTTAAAAAAAAAATGTGGGGGTGGATGCTGTGATAAATAACACAAAAATCCTAACTTTCACACAATATATTTATAGCATGACATATTATAGCAGTATTCATCATTACCTCATTAAAAGTTTTGTACAAGCTTTAAGAATGGTATGGGTGTTTTCTGTTACCTGTTTTCACCACCCAGCTCTTAATGTCCTCCCACAGATTAATTAATTGACAGTCATTAGTTTCAGTAACGTCTTATGGGCCGAAGTTGAGATATATAAGACACTTGTGTGCCCTCTTCTCATATTGTGTGTAAGTTGTTATAGAAAATTTAATATAGTTTTTTCTTTTGGTGTAAAGATATGGAACCATTTATGAATGTAGTTAACATTAACTTACGCCAAAGATACTAAATGCTCAATAACAGCAATAATGGGGGGTGGAAGGGATTGTGAATATCCCATTAACATGCCCCTTGTTCCAAACTAACATCTCACAAATTTGGTTGAGATTGGCCCAGCAACCTAAGAGTAGTTAGATAACTGACAGACACACAGATTTTTGTGCTATATATATATATTTCATAGAAAAGATTATCAGAATTATTCTACATAAAAGATAAAAATAACAGTATATCAAAAGTTCCAATTGGCAGAAATAATCTTAGAAACAAACCTGACGTTTCACAGCAACACAGAAGTGGTATACATGGCCTGATTCTTTCTGAAGAGGTGCAACACACAAAGAAACACATCCCTTTGTGTCTGACACCTTAATCCAATCAACGTCATGACCATCAAGAGCTCGAATTGGTATCAGTCGGATGTGACGCTGCTTACCTGTAACATTCACAGACAAGTATTTTTTGTAGTTTATACCTACCATATAAAAACAACAACAAATGTTTTAACTTTATTTTTACCCTGTAATAATCAGTTTAAAAAGTAAACATTTACTTACAATCTTTACCAATAAAATTTATAGCAATAGCCATGGTAATCTTTTGTGATGTTAAATTTATTTCAAATCATTTTTGTTATTAAATCAAAGAGGTTCCGAACTTAACAACACAGTAATAAATGATTAATTTTAACATATTTTTGTTTCTGATGTCAAGTCCAAATGAAATATTTCCACTGCAATTAATATTTTCCTCTCTATAAACTACAATGTAATTACTAATTTCCACATACCAGACACAACTATAAGAAGCTGTTCCTCAGCAATGTACTCTATGAGAGAAATCTTCTTGCCATCTCCTATTCTTGCAATTTCTAAAGAATAATTTACATTAAAAAATGTCACATACCTGAATGTATAAAATCAGTTAGCAAATTCTTAAAGTTATCATTATTTTAACTGTTTAGAAAACATGCAGTGTATTACTGAGGGAGCTCAACCTGCAAATATCTTCTACAATCATCTAAAAGTCTCTCTGTTTCAATACAAGAAAAAAATATCAAGTTTTACAAATTCATATTAATGTGTATTTTGGCACACCTACACAACAGCAGAACTCAGTATTTCTTGTGCAAAATATATCACTGTAAACAAATATCAGCTATATCTTTACAGTTGTGTTTACTTTTACTATTTACAGAAGCAACTTGTGTAAATATCCTACTTTCATTATCATAAAGATCACCAGCCACACTTCAACAGTTTGATATACAGTATCACCCTACAAGGCTCACAGAACTAATTCATAGCGAATTATAGTTTTGTTCTACCACAGGTGAAAATAACTTGCTGCAGGCAACAAAAGATATAAATTAATATACCTTGTTTAATAATACTTAAAACACTTTCTAGAACTTGCAAAAAAAAAAGGCATTACTGTAACTATGTAATATCTAACAGAAAAGAACCTATTCTTACCTTCACTGTCTAAATCTACACAGTATAAACCTTCTTCAGTCCCAAGACTAATTCGGTCCTGATCTATAGAAGATAAGCTCTAAATTATTATTTTTTTAAATACGTAAAACAATAGTAAACATAAATAATTAGACATAGATTTGATCTATATTGAAGCCTATTTTAATTTCATTTCAAATCTGTACATTATTTTATCAGTAACTTCTAGTTCAATAGTTTTAAACAAAATTAATTAAGTTTTTAAAGACATCATAAAAAATTTACATGTATAAGTAATAAGTTAAATGTTCCTGAAGTTCTATTTAACTGTTGTTACATATAACACACTGCAGTTACTTTCACTCACATAACATATTGTTATCACTTCTAATATGTGGTTGTCATCATTTACACAGTTGCCATTATCATTATTTGAACATATAACAATGGACAATCACTTTTAAACATAAAACACAACCAATGCTTATAAAAATATCATAACAGTTACATATAACACCTCAACACTTTTATGTATCTGCATATATTGTGAAAAATCTAAGTCACTTTTACAAGTAACACACTATGATCTCTTTCATAAACCAGTTTTCACTGTCACACAAACACATTATCATTCCACTCACTACATTGTTACCACTTTTGTATAAGTAAATACTTACATCCTTTAAAAAATATACAAATACAATGTCATTGGTTTCTCAAGTGTAATACATAACATATTTCACTTTCACAATAGTACGAACTATTGAAAAAGGAGCAAAATTTTCAGCAAATATTATTATTTACTGTTAATAATAGTAAGTAAAACATATAAAACAAACATACAAATTTGCCTATGGTTTTTTATTTTAAAAATATCTAAACTGAATTTTGGACATATGCCTTTTTTTAAGATATACATTTACAAATTGCAGCAAAATTAAGAAAAACTGAAATATTTATCAAATCTTATGGGACACATTTATTTGTACCTTAAATTTACAAAACAACTGTCTGATTCACAGGATGAATTTAAACCAATATAACTTGTACATACCTATTATTGCAGCTGACAGAACATTTTTTGTGATAACCAATGTACTATCTAATATTTCCTTTGCTTGATATATCTAAATAAAAAATTAAAAAATTCAATTCATTCTTGAAAAAAATTCTCGATATTAAATTATGAAAGCAAAAACTATAAACTTAATACAAGGTTTTGGTTGACATAACACCGCTTTAAACATCAAATTAATGTTGTAACAATCTTTTAAGTGAAGCAGTTCCAAGTGGAACCACAAAATAAATAGGGATTTGATGTATGGTTAACATTAAAAAACAAAACTTGTATTGTCTTCCATTTCTCATATGGTATGTGGTTTATGAAGATTCAAATAGTTCTCTTCAACAAACATTATAATAAATTCTCACACAGTCTTAAACCATTTAGGACAAATAACTTTAATTTTCTGTTACCATTTGCAGTCCCCATAGAAATGAAAAAGAGTAATTTAGATTTATTTCATTATTTTTGGGGTGATTACGAGGTCGCTGAAATTGACTGAGTTCATATAGGATTGAGAAAATAACAGATAAAATACAAAAATTTTACTGAAAAAAGTTTGATATTCATTTAGGAGAGTTTTAGAGGTTATGCAAATAAATTTTGAAAACTTTAAGATGAAAAGAAAATATTTTTAACCTTAACATGAAATTTACTTTGCACTCAGACTTGTCTGAGTCACACTATGACTCCATATGTACATAGATAAATCTGTAGTAAAAATAATTAACAATGATTTTTTGTGAACAAAAGTATTGTAATATTTACTAAAAGTTTCTCAAATTGTGTGAAAATTCATTAACTCCATTAAAAGTTATGCTATAGATACTTTCATGGTTACTGGTGGTTGGTCAAAATAACTGAGCCCATGTAGAGAGAGTTAACTATAGATTTACCACTGACTTTTTGAACACTTAGTTACACACCAAATTCATTGTGGGTCTGTAACTGTTGGTTACCAAGTCCTTAATAACATACAAGTTATACCAATTAATAAAAAATATCATTAACATTGCAGTTAATTTCACTAATTAAATACTACTGCAGTACAAAAACATAAGATTATTGAATGTGATGTACTATCTGTACCAACAAGTAGTGAATGGTATAATCATAAGTTTAAATCTGTTTTTGTTGTACATTGAACTGTGTGAACTAATAATCACATACAAGGGGAGATTGAGAATTTATTTAAATATTTCCTTTTGAAATTAATAACTTAAACTTTGATTTATTAACTAGTTTTGATGCCAAGTTTATTCATGTACACTGAAATCTATATACATTTAAATATTGCATGCAACTCTTTAAAAAAGTCATGACATGTGCACTTTGTTCTACCTGTTCAAGAGTTACTGCTGGTATTCGATAACACATTTCTGTGTATAACCTAATTAACTTTCATTGCTGATGGCAGTATGTTCAGCAGAGTAGAAAGCTTCTATTCAGAAATTTTAAGCATTAACTCTTTCTTAACAAGTGGTGAGTCATTGATATCCATTGATGTTTTTTCCCCTTTTCACAATGGAATACTTAACAAAATTGTATTAAACATTCTATAAACTTACTACATAGTACTTAGGTTTTGCTTGAAAACTTGTATAATTTGACTTAATTTTTTTATCATTTGTTATGAGACACCATTTTGAAAAACATCAAAAATACTTCCTTTTGTATTATAATTTGTTTATGCTTTTTTAATGTTGGTCACAAAGTTCCAGTTTATATATCCAGTCAGTTTCAACTTCACAGATATTCATTACCACATTTCTTTTGATACCTCATTTTACGAATTACAGTAGTCAATATTTCCAGATATAAATAAAAATAAAACATAATGAAAACTGAAAAATACTTATAGGACCTATGATCTGACTTTTTTACAATGGTGTAACCATTACCCCTGTCAGACTAGGTAACAATATTTTTTCATACAAATTAATTCATATTTAATAAATAATGAGTCTTTTCAATAAATAATAAATTCAATTATCTATGTGCACTGTTTGCATATGGTAAACTCAATAAATAAGAATTTGAGTCATCAAAATATTTTGCTCTCACTTACTGTACTCACTAAATCTAACTAAACTTACCTATATCTTGTAATAGAAGAATGCTTCCATAGATTTCACATAGATATAATTTAATACAAAAACATTTTCAGGAACAAGAAGAACATAAAAAGAAACTACAACAAATTCCCAGATATATAGTTTCTTTCTAAATCTTCTAAACTCCCCATTAGTTTCCACTGTTTATCCTTGCAGGAATGCCATCTAATCACCTTCCCATGAAACTATAAATTACTTCTCACATTTCACCACATTGACAGAAATAATCTATACTCTACTTTATCCAATGGTATTTAAACTTTTTCCTAACCATTTACATTGCTATGTTTCATTAGTAATTGTGGATATCACATGCTGTGACATTGCAAAAAGGTTTAAAAATGTAGGAATGAAAGGCTGTAATAATGATAATAAAACATCAAACATAGAAAGAAAATAACACGAGAAACAAGACACATTGATTATAATCTCAATGGATGAGTTTCTTATAAGTACAGACTTATGCTTTGGGATGGGCAGAAAAATGTAAAAAAAAAACATTTATAATCATGTGATGTTTATTGGCAGGACTCCTTGTAGCTGCACAGAAGTGAAGCTTTAAACATTTTAAAATTTTTCTTGGTAAATTTTTTACAATAATAGATAAAACGTTTTAAAAGGCTTACTTACCGTTCGGTTTGGATGTTTATTTCTACGAAGAATACGAAGGAGTTCATTCAAAGCATCTACCCATTTATTTTTCTCACTTTCTCGGTCAACTAGCATGAGGGTGTGATTACGTAAACCAGGAGGATCCATCATAGCTGTTGTGACCTGGAAATGACACAATCGATGTAATACACATAAGATAGTATAAACCAGGGTTTGGATGTGACACACATGAAGATAATGCATCCAAAAAAGAAACAAGGAGCCCGAAAACTGTAAGTTGAATTTATGAAATTTGTCAAAAAGACAAAGATTTTAAGGATCAGAAATACATCTGGCTCAAATTTATCATTTTGATCTTTTAAATGATGAATAAAGAAAAATTAATCCTGTATTTCACCAAGCAAGAGAATATATATTCATAACTCACTGAAAACTCATGATTATTCTCAAATGTTCATAAATGGAAAAATCTGACTTGTCCAAATAAAATTACAGCAGTTACATTAACCAGTATTCTAAGCCTACTTACCCTGAATATGCAAGGGATGTCTTTTTTGTTTGCATGTATAACATCAGACTCCAATACTGAACTAACAGAAAACTCTTCACCTCTGTAGAGAAAAATCACCAAGAACAAACTAAAATTATAAATTATAAAATCTAAGTAACTCTTTGAGTTCAAGAATAAACACAGTTAATATGTGTTGAATATAAGAATGTCAATTATGTAAAGCACAAAAACAAGGCTTTAATAAATAATTCTGAAAATCTATTAGATACTGTTATTTGAAATTTTAAAGTGTTTGGTTGGAAGATAACTTTACAAATGCAATGTAATACTCGTACACATTGAACTGTACCTTTTTTATCCAAAACAAGTAAATTTGTTAATATTTGAAAGATAATTAAGTCCAAGTGCATAAAAAACAAGTTAATAGCACCGGAACTAGATCTCGCATTGAATATTTTCCAACTCTCACTATTTAATGATTACAAATAAGCATGTTTTAAACCATGCTATATAGACATCTATGTAATTTTCAGTTAAAGCATAATTTCCCTTTTTTGCACACGTAAGAATAGCTTTTTATCAAATCCAGTCTTATCATGCAGCTCCATTTACATCCAGAGTAAAATCAGAATATTAATCATATAGTTCCATTTGTATCAAAGTAGGATCAGCTGTATTATCAATACTAGTTTTATCATGTAGCTCATTTGTATCCATATTATATCATTAACACCAGCCTTTTCAAGTAGTTAATTTATATCCAAGGTCAATTAGCTGTATCATCAACATATTTTGGAGTCAATTAGAAAGTCAAGATTTAATGATGTTTACAGGGCAAAACAAAATGTTCATATCTTGTATAGAACAATAAACCCGTGTGCTAATTCAAGATATGTGGGTCAAAGTGAGAGGTTTAACTATTATTTGAAAGCTACATTTTTTGAAACAATCACACAATAATTACATGTTAAACAATAACATGATTAAATTGTTGGTACTATATTTGGATCATCATTAACCCCCTTCCCCTATAAACTGTGGCTAAACTGATTTTGAATTTTCCAGAAAAGCAATCATCACAAATATACGAAGAAAAAAAAATATGTTACATAATTTGTAGAGTATAAAAAACAATGTCATTACAGTACTAAACTTACCCATGAAAAGGAACTTCGAGCTATAATTTTTGACACATGACTAATAATGAATATTACAAATCTACAATGGATACTAAAACCATATTTTATTTTAAACTTTACACAGACTTGTATCTGAAAAAATATTTAACAGCCATGCATGTACACTTTCATAGGTCTAAAGTGACATCGAGATTTATAATGAGATTTTAAGTGTTTTTGCAGCTGAGTTTAAGTCACAGCAACTTTTCCTGTGAATTATCTTCCATAAAAATGTGTAATGTATATTTCCCATAAGACAGTATACAGACTTTAGTGCCTTCCAAATACAAACGTGATTTTGTTTTATACAGACGGTATTCATCATGGTTAATATTTTGTCTACAATGCCTGAAATTCTACATAATATTTTCAATGCATTAACCCTCTGAGGATCAGGTCTATTAATCCAACAGCTCCTGGTCTTTGGTTATAGAAGAAAACAAACTACAGAAATGAAATTGCATGGAACTTGAAATAAACTTTCTACAGAATATGTAGCTTGTACTTAAAAAAAATTCATTCAATTATGTATAGTATTTTAATGAATTTCTATCTTCTGAATTCTATAAAAGTTATTGTAAAACACTGCTTTTATAAAAAAATAATATTTTTTTTTCCAAATTTCTCATTTTTTTACGTTATTAGTATAAAATCTGACAAAAGTGCTCAAAAGTTTATTTCTTAATAATTAAAACTTAATTTTTTTGGCTGAGTTTATTCCAAAAACACCATATGAAATTTACAGATATTTGTATACAATTACTGGCCTACACACTGTAATAAAGTACAAAAGAAATACATAAACCAAAGACCTATTTATTTTTTATTGATGAACAAAATTATGTTACATATCAAATCACCTTAACTTATTTTATATTCATTAACTTATTTATCTTTGTGATTTCCTTTCATGTGTTTCTTTTTGCCCACTCAAGAAATTCTGTAACTCAATAGGAAAACACATAAACCCCAAATGATTGCAAATCGTGTATGACTGAACTTCATTACACAACACCATAGACTTACTTACTCATCAGCTTTATTCAAACTCTTATTCTATATATTTCCATAGTTTTCAAAAGAAAATAATAAATCATAAATACAGTATTAGCAAAAAAGATAAAATCCTCAATATAAAAAATCCATAAGTCTCTAATCAGCTGGAAACTATTTCTAAAAAAAAACAGTGTTCAACATTCAAATGTGATTTTAGTACTAGACTTCTTTAAAAGTTAGAGATAAAAAAATTCACTTATAAATGATTTTCCAGTTATTTACATTATTTTGAACCTAAGGACCTCCTCCTTTCATTGGATTTTTAATTGGAGGATGCACCTAGTTTCAAACCTGTGATACATGCTCATTTATCAAGACTCTCCTTAGGAGGTACAGGTATGGCGAGTTCATTCAATAAATTCTTAACTCAGCTAATATTGTGTCTAGAACCTTGAGAAATATGTCATTATCTTTGTAATTCTAACAAGTTTTTAGGCAGACAGCAACATAAACCATGATGGCATTAAGTAAATGGTAAAAAAACAGAAAATCTAGAGTATTTACCCATTCCCTTACAGATACACTAATAAATGTGATTCTCTGTTGAATATTATTATGCATAATAAGTGTACTGTAATTGTAATTCAGCCAAAATTACTGCTGTCATACTTAAAATAACAAAATTATTATTTTAAGTCAGAGAGAAGTTTTAACCATTGATACAGTTCAGATCAGTTTAGTTATCTAACCTTACACTGAAAACTGTTGTTTCTCTTTGTGAATTTTGCACAAAGCTACAAAAGGACTATCTGCACCAGTCTACCCTAATTTTGAAATGACGGACTAGATGGAAGGTAGATAGTCAATACCACCAGCTCTTAGGCTACTCTAGTCCAATAGTGAGATTTGACAAACACTCTTACAATGCACCCATGACCACAAAGTGCCGAGAGCATTCTTTCTGTTGTTGATGGTAATGAGGATGAAGAATGGGACTTCAGATATACAGTCTAGTATATTAATCACTGGATAACACTCAGCCTACTAGTGTTTCAGTTCTCATGTTAGAGTATAGGAATTGCAATGTTTAAAGTTAAATTACTTGTACAAGTAGAAACATTTGTAATTTAACTACTCATATTAAATAATAATGAAATACTGTTGAAATATGATAAAATATAAAAAACCAAATGCTGCAAGAAAGTAAAAAAAATCAGTTCTGAAAAGTTAGTGATGAATGAGCTTAATAAAACAATATTCAAACATAATATATTCAGTAAATATAAATGTGACTTCTAGGTTTATATCTTACAGATAAACTACTGAAAATTAAGGTAAACAGCAGACTTCCAATTTGTAAAAGGAAAACATTGAAACTGTAAATGAAATGCAAGCTTTCTTTTCTCCCTGTGAAACATTTCTAAATTTTAGAAAGAAGAAAAATATCCTATTTTTGTTTTTTAAAGCACAAAGCTACACAATAGACTATCTATGCTGTGCCCACCACGGGTATTAAAACCCAGTGTTTACTGTTATAAGCTCAGACTTACCACCAAGCCACAGGGAGACCTAATTTTTGGTTTATTTCTAATACCCACCTCATGTCTAAAACCTGAGAAACACAGACAGATGGTTGGGCATTTTTGTCTTGAAGTAAATCATAAAAAAACAACTTGAAATCACAAACAACCACAAACTGTCGCATCCAGCCTTTCTTCACTCCAGCAGGTTTTGGAACCTAACAAGTAACAAAAATTTTAATGACAATTTTTTGAATAAATGAATAATAAGTAAATATAACATGTAAACTAAATTATGTAATGATTTATTTTATGGAAGGTTTAGATACAGTATTCATGTTGACTAAGATCATAAAAATTGATGGTGTTTCCAGAGTTCTTTCTTGAAGACAAAAGCCCAAAAAACTTTTAAAATGTCCTCGGATTTTCTGTTCTTTGTAACTGATATCCATTTTACCTTAATTTACTTTAATTGGAATAACTTACATTTTTGTTGCTAACATTTTTCACCTGGATAACAGATGAAACATTTTTTTTTTAGATTTTTGTGTGACTTTCACTGAAAGTTTAAAATAACAATCATCAAGCCTTTGAAAGTTTTATGATGAAATAAAAACTGCTATGTAACATAGGCTGTACCATGCCATTATGCATTACACCCATGACCACTAGTCTGGAAGCCATTTTCTGTGAATACTTGTAAGTCAACAATACTATATAGGTCTAATGACTTCAGACAATATATTTCTGATTTTATTAGCTTCAAAAACTTGGAAAATTGTAACAAAAAGAAAAGCAGAAGTTCTACTTTTTCAAATTATCAGCTTTAAAAATTCATGCCAGCTAAAAATAAGCATCACACTTGCCAAAAATCTATGTTTTTCCAGCTTTGTTTCATACAGGGACAAGTTGTGTCTGCACTGAAAATCTGTAGCTTTCCACCACCAATAAAAATTACAAACATGGGGCAAAAATTGAAAACTAGTAGTAACCATTTGGATTTTTGAAATTTAATTTACCCAAAATCACTATTAATAAAACATGTTTACTAATAATTGACTACCCACACACCAGAAAAACAATTTCATTCAAACTGACATTTTGGTTTACACCTTTTTTCATGGGTTACAGCATCATATGTACAAACTGTTAACCAAAAAACACATAAAACAATTAAAACCAACTTAACAATTGTAGTGTCACATTTTATCTCACAAATGTTAAAAGGTATTAGAATGACCATGCAAAAAAAAAGTACAAGCTATCAAAAAAATAAATAAAATAAAAAACATAAAAAAAAAATTACAAAGGTCAAGAATTATTTCTGTTTTATTTTAGGTTTATCAGATTGAATTACGAGAGATTCTTTTAACTTATGATCATGTAAACTATTACATTTGGCTAAGAACTTAATGTTAAATGGTGTTTTGTCTACTATACTATGTTTCAATAAACAATTTTTGGTAGCGACCCCTTTAGACTCAAGATAGCACCGATGTGTTTCATAAAATGTTCATGTTCTGAACGACTGGTTTCACCTATGTATTTATCATCATACTAAGTACATATAATTTCATATGTTACATTTTTAACAGTACAAGAGTCATCTAGACCATCTAATAAAACACGCATTAAAGAAAATTTTAAATCTCAATATTCCACTTATAATTTCATTTTGTAGATAAGTTAAGATCAGACAGAATTTTCAAAACTTGATGTTGACATTTTGTTCATGTAAAAATACAACATAATAGGCATGAAAGGATTAAAACACACCTTCACATAGCCCAGAAATGCTAAAAAGCCAAAACCTACCTTCACATAGCCTTCATAAGCTGTGCCAATTCCTTTGGTTGGATCAATTCCCACAGGCCTTGAAGCTATGAGAGATTTAAAGTTAACTTTTTCTGATCCATGGTCAACATGAGAAACAATACACACTACACTGGTATTAAAATACTAAGTAATTCTGGACAGAAAAAATACATGCAATAAAAATGTGAAAATAATAATTCTGATATAAATGAACAGGAAAATAATAAGTGCAAAGGAATTAACTGTGATCTCTAAAAACAGAAGAAAAAAAAACAGCTTATATCAAAAGTTACTGGTGTCAAAAAATAATTCTGGTGAAAGAAAATGAGAGAAATAAAACAAATTATTTCAATGTGAAAAGCCAGAGTATTTCTAAAGTGAAGAAGAGGGAGAAGTAACACATATTATTCCAGCATGAAAAAATTAAATTAATTCTTAAATGAAGAAATGAGAGAAAAACACTTGCTGTTCAAGTTTACAAAAGTCAGAGTAATTTAGATATGCTAGCATAAAATAAATAAAACATGCTTTTTCAAGTGTGAAAAGTCAAAATAATTCTGAAATGTGGGAATGTGAGAAATAACACATGTTATTCCAAGTGTAAAGAAATCAAAGCTATTCTAAAATGAAGAAATGGGAAAAAATCAAACAAAGTTAGGTAATTAGGATCTGAATTATCCTGAAAATTGTGAGAAATAATAAATGCTACAGCATCTTTTAGAAATTCACTTACTCTGGTCTGCAGGAACAGGGCAAACAGCGGGAACTTTATCTTGGCATCCTACATGACAAGCAAATCCACACACTAATAGAAAACAAAAAAGTTGATTAAGCTTAGGCTTATATTACTGTTAAAACGAAAAAAAATTAACTTAAAAATAAATTTAGTTCAGAGTTTGTTGGCCATTTCAGAAATACACATATTCCATTATATGTACTTTATTTCCAATCACAGATGTGATAAAGTTATTATTCTTTGTATATTTCCATTTGTGCATTTTCAAAAATATCTCTTTTAATTAACAGACAATAAGAAATATTTCACAAAGTCATTGATCAAGGGGGTAAATATAAAGTACATAAATCAAATATTACATTTCAGAGAAGTAATGAAATTCATCCTCTTAGCTTTCATACAGTGATCTCTTTCTTAATTTTAGTATGATATAACAACTATCCCTCATAGAACAAATGGAGATTTATACTTCTTACTTTCATATGCTATTCTACAAGTTCCAGCGTGAGAGGGGCAAAAAAATCAAAGATCAGAGAAATCACAGAAGTTCAGTATACATACTTTCACATACTGATTAGACCCACAATGAATCAAGTACAAATATCATATTTCAGTGGGGTTCCAGAGGCTCATTACATACCTTATATACTTCTCAGTCATAGTTTCACCATGAATGAGATGCAAATGTTCACACTTCAGAAGAACTACAGGGGTTAATTAAACATACCTTCACATACTGCTCCTTGTCTGATTAATCCTACCATGAGTGAGATTGCAAATGTTCACACTTCAGAAGAACTACAGGGGTTAATTAAACATACCTTCACATACTGCTCCTTGTCTGATTAATCCTACCATGAGTGAGTTGCAAATGTTCACACTTCAGAACTACAGGGATTAATTAAACATACCTTCACACACTGCTCCTTGTCTGATTAATCCTACCATGAGTGAGGTACAAAGATTACACTTCAGAGGGGCAACAAAAGTTCGAACTAAAAACTGGTGGGCTTTAGCCTGTAACTGTAATTGCAATAAAACTGCATTAGGTCTTTTCATTTGAAACAAAATGTTTTAAATATCTAAGGAATTTATAACAACTCAAAACCCAACATTTGTTGAGAAAAACATTTAGATGGATTTGTTAAGAAAATGAGCTAAAATTATAAAAATGTTTACAATTTATTAGCTGAAACCCAAAAACAACACGAACAAAAAGCAATAACACTACTTTTCTGGTCAAGTTTTTGTCTTTACCTATGACTTCTATATTTTAAAATCAGTTCATACTTACAAATAATAATCATCTATAAAAACAAAAACAAAAAAAACATTATTTCAAAACTAAGTCAAACAGTGTTTAGTACAAGTCAATGTTAAGAATTAACAATAGTTCACAATTCTAGTTAACACCTAGAGTTTAAAATTGTTCAACTTTAGTGACTGCACCAGATATTGTGAACAAATTCAGATTTTACAGCTGTTACAGTAAAGATACAGTTTTACAGAGAAAGGTTCTACTAGTATTGATGAACCTGAAACCTATTAAAGTTTATAAAATAAATGTGATACAAAATAATTTAGCAATGGTGTAAAAATTTAAATGTTGCAGTGATGAGAAAAACAAACAATGAAATTAGAACTTTATACCTTAGGAGTTTGTAAATTTATGATTGGTTTGGACTCTACAAGAGGTGACACAGGTGATGGAAGATGGTCCTGGGAAGATAACAATTTATAAAATATTAGATAAAAACTTAATTAGAATTATTTCAAGTTAAAAACAGGTAACATTACAATGAAATTGTATGACAGGCTCAGTTAATGCTATTCAGTAGATTAGAATTAAAGGCACTGATACTTGCTAATCTGTTGTTTAGGAGTGCCTTTGCTAACACAACCTGAAAGGTTAAGCAGAAGTAAAAACATTAACTAAAAGTTCAATCAGAATGATACTGCCTAGTGCATTATTTACAAGTACAAACACTGACCTACCTGAGAGGTTAAGAAGTAGAGCACTACCTGACAGTGTAAGTATAAGACATCAGATTACAGATTAGGAAGAAGCAAAGAAACTACATAACAAGTTTAGTAAAAATAAAAACACTAACCTAATATATATATAAGTAAAGACATTGATAGGTTCTGAAGTAAAAACACTACTTTAATAAAAGTGCAAGTAAAAATAAAAACACTATCTGTCAGTACAAGTAATACAATTAATAATTAAAGATACAACCCAGAGTATAAACACTACTTTAATAAAAGTGCAAGTAAAAATAAAAACACTATCTGTCAGTACAAGTAATACAATTAATAATTAAAAATACAACCCAGAGTATAACTAAAAACCCTAGCCTAATATATAAGTACAGACACAGAAAGGTTCTGAAGTACAAACACTACTTTAATAAGAGTGTAAGTACAAATAAAAAACAATAATTGACAGTGTAGTTATTTAATGACACTGACACTACCTTGTAAGTTCAGTCAAATGAAAAAGTTGTCTACATCTGTAACAATTTATATTTTTTTTTACCTAATAATCAATAATAGTTTCTTACATTAATCATTAGCTTACTTACAATTATATCACAATTGCTTTGTGAGTACACACAGTTTTCATTACAAAACACACTACTTCATTCTTTTCATACTCTATCATCATAACAATATTGACCACTCTATCTTAGTTTCCACTTTAGTAAACAGTTGTATACAAGTATGTTCATTTTAGTTTCCATTCATCAGTAGCAGTTTTTTGTTTCAATTCAGTTCGTTTCTTATTTCATTAACTGTTATGACCACCAGTAAAACATTGTTATATCAACACCAATCATTTGTTCATTTTAAATTCTACTGTATACATATACATTTTAACCATTAGCATCTATTCCCACACACACGTTTTATCTTAATAGTAGTTTATCACCCATGCAATTCATGCTTATGTTATGAGCAACATTTGTTAGACATTCATTTAAGTTTTATTCTAATAATAAAACTTATCACCTAAACAACCTGATGTTTTAGCATCTATTAAAACCTGTTAATTTCATGCTTTATTTTATAAACAAGAGTACTGTGTACTCATTCCTTGCTTTATCATATTAGTAACAATTATCATCTATTGATGTTAGAAACATGCACTAGCTATTCATTTCATATCTATCTTCATTACTATTTGTTAACAACTGTTCAATGTATTTAAAATGACCAAATATTTTCACCTTCCCTAGCAACAAATTTGAGTAATCCACTTTACGTGGTACAAGAGTTTGTTTTATGACTAACTCACATCAGAAACATTAGACTTCCCACTGGATACAGAAGGAGGCTGGTTATCTTCTACATCTGCCTCATCACCAGCTTCGCCACTGTCGCTACGGGCCAGCCGTACAGACGTGTCTTTCAAGAACTGGTCTAAGAAAGACATTTGCGAAGATGGGCGATCTAAATCTACAAACATTCATTTACAGAGAATTTTAAAGATACTTAAAGACCATAACAATGAAATAATTTAATGTCAATGAGATTCCGAGACAACTATTTGATACTCTCACATAGGGACAAATTTCAAGTTATGTAATATTATCAGCATATTCACCAAATTAATTAAACATGTTGTCTTGTTTTATACTCTTATTACAACAAGAATGACGTACATGTTCTATTTACACACATGGTTTACAGTCTTTCTTTTTATAAACTCCTTTCTACTTCCTTATTTTTTGCTGGATTTATTAAAACTAACATAATTATTCTTTCTACAATTATATATCTTGTCTATCCTAAATTTCATACTAACATCTTTCCCCACTTTCTATCCTTTCAAGCTTGAGTTGAAGTTCTTTGATGTGAGAATCCTTTTTAAGCAATTCCTTACGAGACAACTCCAACTTCTGCTGACATTCTCTCAGTTCTCTGGGAAAATAACATCCAAACACTTTAAAAAAACCTTTACTTACAAACTAAAAATAAAATACATAATAATAGTAAAGGGATAATTACAGCTGGTGTAGCTAAAGAAATTATTTAGAGGTTTTTCTTGAGAAAATTTATATTGTTACATTCACATATGTGACATATTTCTTTCAACTATAATAGTTAGAAGCTGATATGTGATATATTTCTTTTAACTATAATAGTTAGAAGCTATATAAATCAGCTTAAATTTTACTTCATAATATGCACTATTATAGTTTCACTTAAGACATGGTCCTATACTGATGTTTTAAGTTAGGAAAACACAACAGAAAACATTTAAACTAAATCTAAAAATCTGAGTTCACAGGACATTAAAAACTATTAGTTTTTGATAAAACATAGTTTATTTTGAGTGCATTGAAAAACTTTTTAGATGATACATTGCTTTATGGCCCCTTGTTTTGCACCTACATAAAACAATTCTTCACCTATACCTACTTTTGTTGGGCTACTAGATCTGCTCGTACATGAGATAGTTCTTCACCAATTGCTTGCTTGGCGTGAATTTCACTGTTTAAGCTTGACTGAAGATTTAAAAGTTCCATCTTATCTAACTTCTGGGATCGTCGGTTTCTCCAGTTTTTCTCCTAGCAAAACACAACAATACTCTGAATTTTGAATCACAACTTTCATGATATTCAATTTCTCAAAATCAAAGAAATATTTCAAATGATTAAAGTTGTGTAAAAAAAATTAATAGGAACACCATGTTATTTTATGACCCTTAATTTTGTAAATACAATAATATAGTTAGTTTTCTATATAGACCCTTAATTCAGTGAAACAAGTTTCTGTTATGTTATCCCATAATTCTACAAGTGGAGCTGAATCGTACTAGTTCTAAGCTGCATTAACCCTCATATTACTTTCTTGTTTTAATACCATACATAACCAACAGGGTCCACATACTGAGCAGTTTTACATTTTTGCCAGTTTCAATTCTCAGTATAAGAGTTAAACACAAAACATTGGAAAAAATAACTAATTTTATATGTAAAATACATTGCAATATTAATCATATTTTTTGTTGTTGCCCATGTTACTAGGTGGTACTGCTGTACAACCTTTAAAAAAAATAACATGCTGAACTATTTACTCCTTAACTCAGTTATTACAATGCCATATTGTTTCTCTGTAGTGGGTTTACATTCATTTACCTCCAAAATTTCAATTATTATGATGCCAAACAATGAAACTATAATCATTACTCAGTGAGTGCAAAACGTCTTGGTTACTGAACAATGAAGTTATAAATACCGTAACTCAGTGGGTATAGTACCTTATTAAAGTATAGAAAACAAATAATGTGAAATGAAGTCACACAAAAGAACATACAAATAAAAATATTTGGTAAAACATAAATATGTCAACTAAAATAATAATAAGCATTAAACACAATAAACAAAGAATTGTGGTACCAATTAACTATTTGTTTAAAAGATGGCTTTATTCTATTTTTCTATGTTTATTTGTACCTTAATTCAAGTGAAATATTCTATAAAGTTAAACAAAGCTTGTGATAAACAAAGTTAAGAATAGAAGAACAGGAAGGTCAAGAATACAATACTTTATATCATTAAAAATAAAATTTGTTTCTCACAGTCAGTACATAAAATGCTGAAAAAATATTATCAAGCTAACACACAAAAAATGCATACAGCAGAAGGAACACCACTCATTTTCAACCATTCTAGTTCTTCAGTCATCTTAGTAGCCAAAGCTTGAAGGTACCCCCTGGCATCCTTCTCATCACTAACCCTAGGAAAAAAAAAGTTATCAGTATTGGTTTTAGTTTTCTTGTGAAATGATTTATTAGCTCAAGCTGATTATTATATGAAATTGGGGACTTTTATACTTATTTTTGATAATAATTCTGTTAAGCCTATTCTTTAATTAAAAAGAAGTTAGTAATAGCCTGGTAAAAAGACTATCTAAACAGAAAAATTTTAAATCATGTAATGTCTTAAAAGAAATATCTGTAACTTCTGTCATAGTTATAAAATCAGAAGTACTAAAATCTGTGACTTTTTTTTTTTTAAAGAAAAATTGTCAAATTTCACAACTGGTGATCTACTTCAATACCAGATTTTATTCAAAATATCGAGTGTAAAATTAATGTGGTAGCATTCAGTAGTGCATTTTTTATCATCACTAGTGGAAAAATGAAAACATAATTGCAATCTACTCTTTAAGAATTTCAACCCCTCGTTAGTAACACAAAGAACAAAACAAGTCTTCTTGTAGTGGTGATCTGTGTAAGATATTCAAAGTGCCCTTTACTTGGTTCATAGAATCAGAATGGTAATTTATATTTTTAAAACATTTTCTCAATATAAATAATACTTTCATACCACTGAATTATTTCACTAATCTGAGCTTCCCACTGAGCTATGGAGTCTTTCTTTTCCAACAGTTGATTTAACTCTTCCTCTACTCGTTTCTTCTCATCTTGTTGTTTTCTTATTCCTTCTGATAACTGAAAGATTACATTAAACTAGTTTTTTTTTTTAAATAGGTGCAAAAAACATTGAGAGATAACTCCAGTGAAGGAAATTATATGTTGAAATATGTAAGGTCAGGATAAAGAAAGTTATCTATATCCTACAGCAACTGTGTTAATTAAGTGATCTGTACAGAGCCAACAATCACACTGTGGTAAATGACTAACCCAGCATAACTTTTGATGGAACTGAATAAAATTATAAGTGTGAAACTTAGGCTTGTGCTGGAGTATATACATCTAAGATGAAGAAAGTTATTCATATTCTGTATTGACCATGCTAATTATGCAGTTTACAAACACCAACAACCACACCATGGAAAAAAAGTAACTCAGCATACCTTATGTTAGAGATGAATAAAACGAAAACTTTGAAAATTTGTGTTATATTAAGACTTGGTACTGTTTCATGGACATTCCAGTTTTTTGTGTTATATTAAGACTTAGTGGTACTGTATCATGGACATTCCAGTTATTTATGTTATATTAAGACTTAGTGGTACTGTATCATGGACATTCCAGTTATTTATGTTATATTAAGACTCAGTGGTACTGTATCATGGACATTCCAGTTATTTATGTTATAATAAGATTTAGTGGGACTGTATCATGGACATTCCAGTTATTTATGTTATAATAAGATTTAGTGGTACTATATAATGGGCATTCCAGTTACTTATGTTGTAATAAGATTTATTAATATTGTATTGTGGATATTCCAGCTATTTACTTTTTAATAACATTGATTAGGATTATGTATAACTTTCTTTATCCTTGTATGACACAGTCAATTACAAATCAAGGCATTTCACCAACTGGAATGTCCATGATACAGTACCACTAAGTCTTAATATAACACAAAAAACTGGAATGTCCATGAAACAGTACCAAGTCTTAATATAACATAAAAAACTGGAATGTCCATGATACAATGCTACTAAATCTTATTATACCATAAATAACTGGAATGCTCATAATACAGTACTACTAAATATTATTAATGTAAATAACTAGAAAGCCCTTGATACAGTACTACTAAACATTATATACTATAAATGATCAAACGAACAGAGTAAAGTACTACTGTATTTTAGAGCTTGGAAATTAATGGAATTTCCTAACCAATTAATCATTGGGCTTTAGTCAATTACACTCATTCTCGGATGAGACTTGGAGAGTTTTAATAAATAAACACTAACTTCAATTATTTAATTATTTTCCTGAGATGTAACACCAATTGATTAAGCTGAAAAACCTTGAATCAATTGAAAATAAAATGATAAATTATAATGGCAGTATTTTGATTACTTGGATCGTTGAAATAACTGAAAACAGTAATAATTAGAAACAGTTACTTCAATTATTTGATCATTTTTGACACTGTGATCGTGTTAATTGTAATTTTGATTAACCAGTTATTTAAAAACACGAATCGATGTAATTGATGATCATAGGTAATCAATTACATTAATTCATCAAGTTAATCATTCAGCTCTACCCCAGGTCATCTTATTATAATACAAACTAAAATGAATGAGATAACAAAGTACTACTAAGCCTTATTACAGTGTAGATAATCAGTATAAATAACTCACATGAAACAGTACTTGTTAGTCTTACATTATTTAAAGATAAAAAGAAAAACAAATCCACTTATTATATATTTGTCACTTGCATTATAAAATACTATTAATACTTCTAAATAAACAATAGGAATCTGAAGGATTTCTTTCTCTCTCTTACCCGTTCTATTTCTTGCACAAGTTTTTTGTTTTCCTCATGAAGCATATTTTTCTCTCGTTCATGAATACGTTTCATTTCGTTAACCATTTCTTGGTTTTCTAAGGCACTGAAATTTCAGGACAGTAAATTTTTATTCAGTAACTGTAAGCAAATATTTATGACCATGTAAAACATATGTTTTTAATTCAATGCAGTAAAATATACTATTTTACCATATGTGACATTACACCTGAGTCTAGTAAGGTAATACAACAGTCTTGTAATGGTAAATATTATACCAAGTACTTGTAACTACGGAATAATTACATATCAAACCCAATTCAAACAGAAAAGTAAACTCACCTCTCTGATCTTGCTTGTTCAAGTTTTTCTTTAAGCCCTGAGATCTGAAAATACAAGTAAATATAGAGAAAGTTAATTCCAAAAATTAACTTGAACAGTTTATGTTAGTTAAATACTGAAAGGATATAAAGCCTAAACTGCATAAGTCTGGAACTGAAACTAATATGTTGCTCAGCAAAACAAATGTTCTGTATAAGGAAAAAATAAAATGTGAACAGTACTAATAAATCATAAAACTGAACCCTAACAAATAAAATTATATGTGAAAAGAATAAAAACAAAGTGATATATCATTAAACAATTACAAGTCTTGGATAATAGAAGACATTTCTTTAATAAATAAATTAATTAACAAAATTTATGTTGATCTTAATTTTACAGCTACTAACAGAATGTCATAACAACCAGGACAACATATAGATTACTGATCCTCATTATGAACCAACACTTGTTAAGCTGTTTACAGACAGGACACTTTTGACCAACACTTAAGCTGTTTAGACAGGACACTTTTAACCAACACTTGTTCAAATTGTTTAGAAAGAACATTATCAACCAACATTTAAGCTGTTTAGGCCGAACACTTTTAACCAACACTTGTTAAGCTCTTTAGATATGGTATTAGCTGTTCAGACAGAATGTTAATTATCAAAAACACTTAAGTTGTTTAGACAGAGCATTATCAACCACACTTAATCTGTTTAGACAGGATACTTTCAACCAATATTTGTTAAGCCGTTTAGACAGAATATTACCAACCACATTTAAGCTATTTGAACAGAACTATCAACCAACAGTTAAGCTGTTTAGACATAATATTATCAACCACACTTAAGCTGGTTAAACAGAACTATTAACCAACAATTAAGCTGTTTAGATAGAACAATATCAACAAACATTTAAGCTGTTTTGACAGAACATTAACAACTACACTTAATCTGTTTTGACAGAACATTAACAACTACACTTAATCTGTTTAGACAAAATATTACCAACCAGCACTTACAGTGTTTTTACACAGAATGTTATCAATCAAACTTAAATTGTTTGGGCAGGACACTCTCAACCAATACTTGTTGAGCTATTTAGACAGAGCATTATCAACCACATTTAATCTATTTAAATAGGACAATTTCAAACAACATTTAAGCCATATGTTAACTGTTCTCACACTTGACACATTGTGCATTTTTATTGTGATAATTCAAAATACATTATCAAGTAAAATATGTTAAAAATATTGTTGCACAAGACATAATAAGTAATATTTTTTGCTGTGATTATTCAAACAGGATATCATTAAAACTTGTTCAGCCATATGGTAACTGTTACTATGCCACACACTATAAGTAAATTTTTTACTGATTATAATCCACAAACACACTTGTTAAGTGATATGACCAGCATTGCTGCTTTAAAACAAAAATACTTGATATGTTTTTCACTGTAATATTTAAACTGATTGCTCTCACTTCTTTCTGAAGTATCTCTACTTTGTTGTCTGCTTCCTGCACTTGTTCCTTAAGGTTAGTTACTTCTGTTGTGTACTTGGCTTGTTGTTGGCCAAGAGCTGTTTTGTGTTGGCCATTCAAGTTTTCTAGTTCAGTTTTTAATCTAAAGAGAAAAATACAGAGAGGGTCAGTAATTACAAAGACGTATATTTCTCCAGCTGTGTTGAGTGCATGGTTTGTTCTCAATTACTGAGGTCTTGTGCACATTTCCAGTAATTTTAAAACTTGGATCATTTGTAGAGGAAGGAAAACAGACTCTAAAATCAAGAACAAATTATAAATCATTACTGTAATCACCTGTTGATTTCCTGAGTGGCCTCTGAATTTGTGTTGTTTGTAGCTCGCCCAACTTGTCTCTGTTTTAAAGACTCTAATTCTTCCTCCAGGTGGCGAACATAATCTTCACTACGTTCTCTCATCCTCTTCTCTTTGGACACCTCTGTTTGTGACTCTTCAAAGTGGAACTCAAACTTGTTGACAGAAACAAACACACTGATGTAGATGTTAATTGTTACTCTTATACCTGAGTTTTGATAGTTTCTTAAATCCCAATCTTATTCTAGCTTAGCATTATAGAAAATTCCTTTTCCTTGCTTTTTTAGTGAAACATACATATTCTACATATGTATACAATTGAAATGACGATGTACGAGTCTTTAAATCTCGTCTTGTAACTACAAGAAACTACCCGATATCTTCAAAAATTGCATTTAAAGTAATTATAGAAGATTTATTATAATAAGACAAAAGATATATGATTATGCTAATTATGTTTCCTATGATAAATACTACTCAATTACTATTGTTGGAGTTCTTTTGAGGAAAGTTCGAGTTTGATGCTCCATTTCAAGTATTGTTATAAAAGTCCTATTTTTAGACTATCAAGAAGAAATCTTCTATAATACTAGAAAAAACATTTCTACATACCAAGAAAACTATCATTTGGGTGCAGAATAAGATTAATATTCAGAGATCCAAACAATTCACTACACTTGGGTTTTGTGAGTTAGTCGACAATGACTGAAGACAGTTTTTTATTCAAATATTTTCAGAACTAGTTTTTATAACCAAATTAATTGCATATTGCTTTGGTTTAAAATGATATCAGTGTCGAAAAAAACAACAACTATAAGAGTGAAAGTTACCACATTAAAATTAACTTCAGGCACTGGAAATTATCAACTAATTAATTATTTATCAAACAATAAAAATGGATAATAACATGATTAAATAGAAGGTTGTGGGAAATGCAATTAAAATGAGCTTGTTGCAAGATGCAGTGGGGAAAAAAACAGGTGTTTTGAAATTAACAGTCCTTCAAACTGATCACTAAAAGCAAAAACAAACATATGTGGTTTATTATCTAAACAAACACTTATTTTATATAACAAGAATGTTGACGGTAACATATTGAAACACAAAGAGATATCATAAATATGATTAATTATAAATGTCATAAGACATTGATATTAGGCCTAGTATACATTCAAATACCATATTATTTATCTAGTTCTTTGGGGATTTTTGAGACTAGGTAAAGAAGTAGCATTTAAAAACATAACAGGCCTAATACTAATGTCTTATGAAAAGTAAAATTAATTATAATTGTGATTTGCCAGCTTATGTAAGGCATTCACACCATAACAACTGTTGTTGAAATTATAACTACCTCTCTCCTTAGCTTTTCAGCTTTTCTCAACTCTTGGCGCAAACTATCAATTTTCTGCATGGCATTTTCTACTTCTTCTTCTTTATCTCGCACTTGTCTGGAGAGCTTCTGTTTCTGGGCTCGCAATTCTGACAACCTTGTGGAAAAGACCAGTTAAATTAAAACTTGGTTTCTAAATTCACAACTCATATATCTTGACATAAGATCATTTGTCAAAATTTGATTAAGTACTTAGTTACACAAAAATCAGCTATCTAAAAAGGAAGTGCTTTATGGAAATAAAGGTAATTAGCTGAAGTTTCACACAAAGATCCACCATTAGAAACTCTTCATTGATAACAGAAGTTTTATAAAAATAGAAGAAACTACTGAAGTTTCACACAAATATCCATCTTCATAAACACTTCAATGAGAACTCTGTTTATATGTTTTACTGAATCATATACTCCTACTTGTTTCATCAACCTACAGTCAAAACGTAAGAGAAACCAAGCTGTTATTCAAGTGAAATTTTTCTACATTTTTACAGTAAAATAAGTTTTGTTTTAAAAGTGAATGTTTTTTTTATCAACTGCCAGAATAAACAATCATAACAATGTGAATTTTTTTTTCCTAAAAGTGAATGTTACTATAGACACAAACAAGTTGAAACTCCACAAAACAAATTTTTATATTTAAGGACCTTTAAAATGAAAAACAAAAACTGAACAGAATTGTTTGTTTGTTTTTAATTATGCACAAAGCTACACAAGGGCTATCTGTGCTCTGCCCACCACGGGTATCGAAACCCGGTTTCTAGCATTGTAAGTTCGCAGACATACCGCTGTGCCACTGGGGGGTGAACAGAATTGTTAAGACTGTTATAGTCACGGGCTCATAAATATTCCACCATTTTCATGTTCTAAGCTCATTTTGATTGTATCAACGATATCACATACAACAAACACTTACTTATCACTAACTTCAGAGTACTCTGACATGGCAAGTTTCTTCTGTCCCAGAGCATCTTTAAGTTCTTTAGCTTGTTGTTTTAGCTTTTCCTCAGATTCTTCCAGATCCTTCAGAAATTATACATATAGATATTGGAAAATGTTATTTATAAATGCTTTACCTGTTACTCGTTTTATGCCTTCAACTACTTTACAAATTCACAAAGCTTTAAATAATAAGTATATTTCACTAATAGCAATATTTTGTCAATATTTATTAATCTGATAACAGCTTCTAGTAAATACCTATTTTAAATAAACAACATTTTAACAACAAATTTTTATAAATGGTAATAAATAAAAAATTAATCATAAAGATGTGCAGTGATTACCCATATTTTTTATATAGCTAATTACTGTAAAACTATTTTGTTTGTTAAGTTTTTACACATTAAATTTATATTCTTTAAAATATTAGGACCCTTTCAAAAAACAAGTTTTCAAAACATTTTTCATTCTTGAAATTAAAAATAAAACATTTTGTAAAATAAAGCAAACAAACCAAAAAAATTACTTAATACACCTAATACTTGTTATGTTAACACTTTCTTTATCTGAAAATGTATCTACGATAAATACTCACATCCTCATGCAAAAATGTTATCTTCCTTGTGCATCTGCCTATGAGATTTGTAAGCCAGTAGCTCTGAGGTAACTCCCACCTAAATTCACGTTTAATGTGAACTACACTGATGCATGATGGCATCATCATCATGTGATAAAAGTTACAATTCCCCCAATGCACTTGTACTCCTGATAGTGTCATTTTTTTGACAAGGCAAAACCAAAAAATGTGCACCAAAAGTGGGAGGACGGGTAGGAATGAGCATGTGAAGAGATAAGTATCTATCAGAAATAGATTTTCATGTAAGAAAAATGTTAACTTCTGAGAAGATAACTCACCAGTACACACAGAAATGTTAGAATCCCACACTGAAGTGTTGAAGGGGCCAGTTTCAAAAGTTTACCTAGATGAGCACCCTTCAGAGAGTGCCAAAAGGAAGCATACGGAGTGTGACATCCATTGGCAAGGGCATCCTGTGGGAGTCTGTATCCTGTTGCACTTTGTGCAGAATGTAAGGGGAAAGAGCAAAATGAGCCACAAGTATCGCAGGAACAGGCAGAATGAACATCTGAGCAATTGCACACAAGCAGTTGGCGAGCCAATATGTATAGTGTGGTTGAGGCTCAATCATATCATACAGTGTGTGCTCACTTCGACTCTAGTGAATAGGCTATGGCTGCAGGAAGAGAGCATATTAGTTGTGTGTGTTATGTTTATAAGGGGTGATCCATACTACACTGAGTGGTCACAAGTAAATAGACACCTAATTTTTCGTCATTTAATTGATTTATACTAACTAATTTGTGTTCACAGAGCACTATATAAATGAAAATAGTCCGCACACTAATTATTTTGTGCTACAACATGCCTAGAACTCAAGGTTCTTTTGAATTGTCAGATTTTGTTAGAGGAAGGATAGTTGGTCAAGCAGATGGTGGAATAAGTCAGTGGCAAATTTTGCAGAATTTGGGAATCCCGCTTTCGACAGTCAACAGAATCATCATGCAGTTCAGGAAACACGGCTAGGAAACAATTGAGTAGTGTCCGGGTCGTCCTGGTCCATCTGAGAGGACAAAAAGGGCTGTCAAGAGGAGTATTGAAATGGATTCTAGGTTAACGACTGCAGAAGTGGCCAAAGTTGGTGG